TGGATATTGGAGGGAGAAGTTTTGTGTTAATCACTTTTGGGAGTTAAAGGGTTAATAACCAGCTTCAAACAGCACATTTTCAGACGTTGCATTGGAAACAAAAAAATTATTTATATTGTCTACATTGAAGTTATGACTTTTAAATGTGAATATAGTTCCATTAATACTCTCAATTGATAGGAGAATTGACTCATTGAGCTTGTTGAGTGCATTTGTAAATAATAATTAAAATATTTATTAAACTTTTCAAAATTATTCGTTTAAATTTCTTTGCTATCTATGGAGCACTTCAAACGCATTAGGATATGTCTTCAAGACTCTTAGGAATGTGGTGTCTGAAAAAGTGGATTTGGGTGGCAGTGAATTGATTCTCTGAGGGTTGAAATGTCCTCTTCTTAACGAGTGCTATCTAAAAACTTCAGCCTTTTTCCCAGGCCTCTTCTCAGAGGGAGGAAATATGGAGGATGGGAAGGTACTGGGCTTACTTTGACTTCGAGCCCTTGTGAGCCTTGCAGCTAAAAGTATTAATGTGTCAATCAATTAGAAACTTCAACATCTCCCTCCACCCCTCCACCCCTCCCCCTTCCCGTTGGGCAACTCCCCTGGCATTTGAACTTTTGAAGATTGGTTAGGTTTGTTTAAATTCCCAACCTTGGGGAAAATGTCCCACCCATTACTTTTGTTGAAGGCAAGATCAGTGACCGTGACTTTCTAAACATTGACCAAACTTTAAAACCTGGACCACATAGACCTTTGAGCCATTTGCTTGCAAAAGTGAATTATTAACCTTTAAACACCTCATGTTTAAAGATAAGTTGTCTCTTTCCAAGCTGTCAGCACAAAATCTGTGATAAGATGGATATATCTAGTCTTGGTCACAGTGCAGCTCACAGACAGGTTGCAGGTTTTCAGGTCACAGATGGCAAGTCATGGTTCACTGGTTTCTGGTCACAGTTCCTGGGTCACAGGTGGCAGGTCACAGGCTTCTGTTGATAGTTTTCATTTAAACAAAGTAACATTGACTTCAAGAGAGCTTATGTTGTAACACCAGATGGAGAAAGCTTCACATGTGTCTGGTTCTGGGCATTGATAAAACAAGAATTTGGAATGGCTCATAATTAACAATTATTCATTGAAGTGGATGTGTATAAACACTGAGGTGAATAACTGTTTTAGTGCATACCACACTTTTTATTCACTGTGGAAATAGCCAATCGGTGCACACAAAAAAACATTCACTTGTGTGGTATATACTAATTAAAGATATTGCTCACTAAGTGGGAGACAAACATGATTGCAGAGACTTGACAAACGTTCTAAACAAAAGCCACAGCTACTACACTGATACATGTACTTTCTGCCATTTCCACTTATCTTTGAAGATCCTGCAGGCTAAGAAGTGGGGAGATCTAAGCTCATAGGCCTGGAACTGGTAGTGATATGTAAATGTGAATCACGTTTTCTGTTTGGAAATCTCATTCAGGAATTGTGAACTATCTTTCAAAACATCCTATTTTCCTTAGAAATTTTCTGAATACCATCCCTGAGCACCTTTTGTCACCTGACACAAATACCCCAGTAAGTTCCCTGTTTTACCAACTTTGATCATGGCTAGATAATAGTCACTTTGTAAACTTGCAGACCATTCATTGAATTTCAGATTATTTACCTCAAGGGCAAAATTTCTGGAATGTGACAGTTAAATGATAAAAAAAAGTAATAACAGTATCGAGGGTGAATTTTGATATCTTTAATACACAGACAGTTCTCCCAGTAACTTTGAAGCACTTCTGTTTTTCTTTTCAAACTTTTCTTCTTGGAAGATGAAATTCCAACAGAAATTTTTATGCATTTTCACCACTCTCTTCAGTATCAGAGCCTAGTTTTCTTCTCTCCTCTTTTGCCTTCATTATCACTTTTTTAAACAGATTGCAGTACAATTGGACAGCAGAAGGTGTATCATCATTTCCAGGTATGGGATACATAATCATATTAGGATTGCAGTCACTGTCAACTATGCCGATAGTAGGAATATTTAGCTGAGCAGCTTCTGTCACAGCTAGAGTGTTTTTTCCCAATGATGGCAAATGCAAAAATATAATCAGATCAACAAGTTCAGTTGTTCCTAATAACATGTAAGAATTGGTCAGAGTTCCTCCACGCCATCTGCGAGTTATAAAGTACTCATCACATTCCCTTGCAGTGCGCTGTGTCAATTCTTCAAACTGGGGGTGGGCAGAAATAAAGAGAATTTTCCCTCTTTTATAGGCAATGTGTGAAAGAACATTCAAGGCAAGCTGGAAGGAAAAAAAAATGTTAATGTCACCACTTAGAACAGGAGGAAGTAACAAATGGGTGCAGTTCCTCTATCTTAAGTGTGTAGCATCTAATTTCTTCTTACAACATCAACCCCTGAATCACACTCTAACCCTTTCACTCCCAAGATCTAATTAGTAATTCTCCTTACTATCTGCCAGACAATTCTTATGATGTTATTTCAGAGAATTTGGTATTGGATCAACTAATAATCCCTTAATTGATGTTCTTCTCTATTCTCATCACCTACCTGCTTGATACTGTATTGATATTGTGAGGAGAAATTCTGTCTTGGTCACTTGTAGGAGTGAAAGGGTTAAGAACAAAGGAAATAAGCAAAAAATGAAAATGACCGTAAACTAAGGAAGCTTGTGATTGTTAAACAACAGTTGGGAGAACATGCACACTGATGTTAGCTGGTAAAGTGTTAAATTAAGGTGAGTAGTAAAAGAGCACGAGACATAAGGTATTCTGTAGGTATCATGGATTGTGATGTACACATTATTTTAAAACAGAATTGATCAAAATTTATTTGGGGAAGGATGAAAATCCTGGAGCAATTGTTTAAGAGGGTCAAAAAAGGGAATGAAATTGTTTGCCATTCACACTAAAGTCAAGAGATAGATGCTATCAACAAAAAAATACTTAACACGGAAAAGGACACAAAAAAACACTCTAGTTTGTCATGTGTGAAGTTCACTCCATCTTTTGTATTATCTGTCCATTAATTTTAGCTTGAGATCTAGCCAGGGTCACTGTGTTTAGTTCTTTGACAATCTCTACCACAATTTCTCCTAAAGAAATGCTGCAATTAGTACCAGATTCAGAAAGACTTCTAATGAGAAGGTAAAAGGTTAACTCTGCACTCCAGCTACAAAACCACTAGTGAACCCTTTACGCCATAACATCAGTAGGCATATTCTCCATACTTTTCTCTAAACATTTCCTATGATGCTAATAAGGAGAATTTGTTTAGCAATCACAAGCTTTAGTAGGTGATTATTTCCTTTATTCTTGTAATGTTACTTTGTGATTCAGAGGTGATCTTGTAAAATCATACCACATAGAAAGAGTCCCACCAGCTCTCAGTCTTATCCATTCTTGATATCTTTAAACTATCAATTGTGATGCATGTAGGATAATTTAGCATTATCAACTGAGTTAATAGC